CAGTGCAGGCAGCGCGCCAGGTCGCGTCTAGCGTGCGCAAGTGGGCGGCCAGGTCAGCGATAGTGGAGAAAGACGCTAGATCAGGAAAGAGCATGGGAAGGATCAGGCGACCAACGGAGGCAGAGGGCAGGGTGGAATAGCATGCGACAATAGCCTCTAGGAACTCCTGTGCAGTCCTGACTGACCTAAAGTGGGGGCGCTCGGACAGGGGGAGGGCATGACTAATCGCGAGGTGTGCGACAGCGTTAGGCGACAACCAGACAGCACGCGCAAGGGCAGCAGCGGGAGCGGATTCACGGTTAGCAGACGAGGGGTCAGCGGGTAGAGCAGCACGAGGGTCAGGGCAGGGGAGCGTACCGTCGATGTGGACGGCCAGGGAGTGGCCGTCCTACCGCTGACCAGTGAGGTGACGGGGGAGGTCGACGAGCCACGTGTCGAACTCAACCGGCTGACCCTCCGCGTCAAAGCGCAGCACCGAGTCCGCCATCATGGTCGCTGCAGTAGCAGAAAGGCGGTAGTGGGCTGTACTGAGCGACAGCGTGGGGCGGGAAGCAGTGGTGTACGGTGTGGTCCGTTGCAGTATGGTAGACAGCAGTAGAGTGAGGTATAGTACGATAGGGTGCGGTGCAGTGCGGTACAGGGCGGTGCAGTACAGTATACTGCGGTAGAGTGCGGTGCAGTGCGGTGGAAAGGGCCGATGAAGCTAGGTTGGAGCCGCTGGGGCAGCTGAGGGACGGGACCGCGAGGAGGCTGGGCGGCGAGGCCGCGGGGCGGCTGGTCAACAGGGGCCGCGTGGCAAGCAGGTGACCAAGCCACGTGGTGGGTAGGCGACCGAGTCGCGGGGCGTTCAGGCAACGGGGCCGCCAGGCGGCTATGAGACAGGGCCGCGTGGCGGCTAGGAGACGGGGCCGGGGGTGGCGAGGCGATGGGGCCGGCTAGGCGACGGGGCCGGATAGGCGGCGGGGCCGGCTGGGTGACGGGGCCAGCTAGGCGACGGGACCGGCTGGGCGACGGGACCGGCTGGGCGAAGGAGCCGGCTAGGCGACGGGACCGGCTAGGTGACGGGACCGGCTAGGCGACAGGGCCGGCTGGGCGACTGGGCCGACTAGGCGACGGGGCCGTCCAGGCGACGGGGCCAGCTAGGCGACGGGGCCGGCTGGGCGACGGGGCCGGCTGGGCGATAGGGCCGGCTAGGCGACAGGGCCGGCTAGGCGACGGGGCGGGCTAGGCGACTGGGCCGGCTGGGCGATGAGGCCGATTAGGCGACGGGGCCGGATAGGCGACGGGACCGGCTAGGCAGCATGGCCGGCTGGGCAACGGGGCTGGCTAGGCGCTAGGTGACAGGGGCCACTAGGGGACGGGCCAGCACGGGCGGGAGGTTGACGGGGCGGCTAAGACCTATGGCAAAAGCACTGGTGGGCGGGGGGGACCTAACCTAATCATGATACCATATAAAAAATAACAACTGATTAGAACCATGGCATACAAGGGAATATAACCTAGTGGGTTGTACTCTCTAAGGCACAACCCTGTGTAGTCTATAATAACATACAAGGATTTCTTTGACATAATGCTCAGGTTCAGTTGCTGTAATGGGGCCGCTTTAAGCGGGGAAATGTGGATGTGGAGTGTCAGAGGGTTTGACACCTACTGCCTCCCCTATAGAATTTGTTAATAAAAGGGAGAGTTGTGATATCTACAATGGAGACCTAAGTGGATTTGTTGTTTTACACATTTCTTGAACCCCTTGCATTACATGCATTGCCCCCAGGCCCCAAGATTCGTTTTCTGGCACGCTGATTTATCATCCTTCCCTCCCATACGTAGGCTGATTTCTCAGACCCTCCCTGAATGTGACAGCTGTTGGTGCAACCCTATGGCTTGCACTCGGCTTGTTGTCCTTGTTGGTGTGTGTGCATGCATGGCATGGAATGACTTGTGAGTCTATGGCATTGCTATCTAGTGCTTGTGTGTGTATTTGAATGGTGTATCACAATGTGATTTGTGTCGGTCAAGACATTAGCGAGTTTTCACAACTCGCATGTCAAGTCGTCGTTTGCGTATCGCAAGTGTTTTTTCTATTTTGTCTAGTGTGAAGTGTCCATCGCGTCGCAGGTGTGTGCAGCAAGCCCTCATCTACTGAAGAAGAATAAATCTTGCAGAAACAAGAACAAGAGCTCAAGATTTCAAGCCCAAGGGACATGGATAAATATTAAAATAGTGAAAATAGTAATGCTACTTCAAGTAGTGTTACATTTCACTTGGTATAGCCCCTTGTTGGGTTTGTTTCGAGTCTCCTCATAGATGGGGACTCTGTGGTGGTGTACCACCAACATGGACATCGGCTCATGGGGTATGTAGAGGCTGGGAACCATCTCTACCTCGAATTCTTCTTGCTAAGTTTGTACTCCTAAGACTTTAGTGGCTGCTGTACCTTCTGCCAGTCAAACCACCATAGCGTCATCAAATCTTCATGGACTTTTATGATTCAACTTGCTGCTGATAGGCGACAGCAACGCGCTCCAGATCTAATTTACAGATCACCGTTTGAGGCACAGATCAGTTCGGCATAAATATTTGAAGCTGTCTGATGGAATTCTGACTGTGCACAATTTCTCTCATTTTAGGCACATCTGAGCCTATTGTGATTATAACAACAGCCTTGACTCTAAAAGTTTCGCTGAATGTTCAGCCTTGGTTAAAAAAAAAATGCTGAAACGCCACGAACGCACTTTGATTAATGGCAGTCATTACATTTCATCTTCGGTGTCTACATAAGCCTCTAGTTCCCCCCCATCATCCATGGGGCCACTACAGTCATCATCATCCACCTTCTCCTTGCCCTTCCTGCTCTGGGGGCGGGGCCGACAGCTTGAATGGGGCCTTCTGTTCCTGTAGGCCCTCCAGATCTCTACTACATCGGGGTAATCCGGGGTATAGTCTAGCATAGACATCACCATAAGATTGCTAAGACGGGCATCGTTGAGGTTGCCGCGCTGCCAGCTCTTGATCAGGTTCTGGCGGGAGAAGCCACGCTCGCACTCGACGGTGCTCAGGGGCAGCACGGCCACCGCCACCCACAACCCTATGAGATTGGGGTAGTGGATCTTCCAGTCGCTGGTCTTGAGCACGGCGGTGAGGCCGGCATAGAAATTGCTGTCGACGGTGTTTAGCCGTGCGAGCATGGGGGCGAAGGGGCGAATCTCCTTGGCCAAGCCGCGACATCTCGGAGCCGCCAAAGTCGTCACCGCAGTCGACGTACCGGCCCTCCAGCAGCCCGGTTGTCTGCGCGATCTGACTGGCGACGGTCGCGTAGTCCAGCTGCGAGGAGAGGTGTTCACGGGGCGAGGGGAGGTGGGGGGGGAATACTGTAAGAGACCGGATAACATGATAAGCATATACGCGTGCTTGAGAAAGATGCACCTCCCGCTGCTGGAACACCTTGTTGAGGATGTTGAGCTGCTCAAGCACATCAGCCATAAAATGCAAAAAGAACCAGAAACGATAGCTCCGAACAATAGCCAGCAACTTCACGTTCCTCAACTCCATGACCATGACCAGCACAGCCAGAAGACGGAGGATCGCCTCACTGCGAGAAAGCCATCGGATGGCGTGGATCCCCTGCACTTCCAGGTTGGTGTCGTTGAACATCTGCTGCAGGTCCTTGAAGCGTTGATGCAGGGTCCAGAACGGCCGAGGAACTCTGCAATCTCCTTGATGAAGTCGTCGACGATGCCGAAACTCTTGATCTCTTCTACGGCATCCTTGGCCGCCAGTGCAAGTATGCAAGTACAAAACGGATGTGTTAAAATATGTCTCGCGGGTGTATTAAAGCGGAAGAGTTCGGAATAACACTTACCGTTGGGCGATGCAGTGGCATGACACAAGGTGTGGGACAAGCACCCTCAGTTGAGCGACAAGGCCACGCGTCTTCCCGAGCATGACGGCAGCGCCGTCAGTACTGATGCCGGAGATTCGGCGTAGATCCACACCAATAGCCTGGATGTGGGACAACAACAGCGAGAGTAGCGAGGCAGCGTCAGCCCTGTCAACTATGAGGAGCGCAAGGAGTTCCGTCACTTGACGGTTCTCCCGAATGAAGGTGGCAAACACAATCATGTGTTTGCCACGACAGCGGTCAGTGCTCTCATCGAGACTGAGGCCGATGAAGGGGCTGGCCAGGAGGTGTTCGAGCTGAGTGGTCTGGAGCCATGTCGCGAGGGCTTGTGTGAACTGGCCGAAGCCATACCTGCCATGGTATCACGCAAAGAGGGAGATTAGGACATGAAAAGGTCGTGAATGCAGATAAAAACTAAAGCACGGTCGGAGACTTACGAGTTGTAGTATGTTCCGTAGCCTTGCTCTGGAAAGCCACGGAACTTCCGCTCCGACAGGTATCGCGTGAGACGAATCCACATCTCCATCGGCTCGTTGCAACGGCTGCAGAAGTAGAGCACGTCGAGGAGTGAAGACACGTGAAGCAACTCCAGGTGCGGTTCAGCTGCTGCCCATGCAACGTTGGAGGGGGTACCCCCTTCTGGAACCTTCAGGTGTGCGCTTCGGGGGAGCATCTTTCCAGCACTGCTGTACCAGCGCATATGCAGCTGAGTCATAAAGAGCTCTAGCGATTGGTTTACTTGGCGGAAATTCGGATAAGAACCAATCACAACGAGCAGTGGCTAGTGTGCTGGCAACGGTGGAGGGAATTCCGCGTCAGATGTCACGCCGAAAGCCCAACAGTGCAGTCACTCGGCGTGATTGACGGGGGTAAACTTGTCACATAGCAGTAATCGCGGGGGGCCCTGGAAACTCACTATACTCGGTTTCAGCCTTCCCCCCAGGGAGTATAGTGAGTTTCCTCAGCCTACACTTCACAAAAAAGGCTGAAAACATCAGACTAGGCTATAAAAAAAAGTCTGAAATTGACAGCCTTACCTATAAAAATAAGTCTTTCAGTCCAGCCTTGGTACAAAAAAAAAGCCTGAAAAAAGGCTGAATCAGCATAAAAAGGCTCATATTTAGGGGCCTGATTGCCCCCTCCTACCATTGTGGCGGGAAAATAAGGGGGGAGGGGTGTATCTTATCTCATACCGCTCTAAAATCTGATCTTATAAACGGGAAATCCTAATACAAGATAGATGCCTAATACAAGACATAGTATCTTCTATTCCATGGGGGTTTTATATCCGGGCTTTTACGGTACTACAAATCATGCTGAAAAGCAGAAGGAAACAACACCACTGATGCACAATTACTGAACTCATGCTAGGGTACGAAACCAGGCGAGCAGCTTGGATAGTCCAGTATCCAGAGCTGGGTTGCGCTTTTCATAGCCTGCCAGCAAGCCAATGACAAGGTGGACCGCGGATTCAGAGGGGAAGGGCTGCATTAGAGCCATAAAAGCTGGCATTTTCTCTCAGAAGCCAGCTCTTTGGTGTATCGAGGTCATTGGACAAAAATCCATGCTTCCCCTCGACATGCAGGTGCAAGATTCAACAGCCATGCTCTATCCAAAAGCTCTGTACTCTTTGGCACGCAATGCCGTCTCTTCATTCCAGACCCACAGCAATTGATGCATGCTTTCCAAATCGATGGCTCCTTTGGATGCACCTGAATCAACCTTTGCGAATTCAACAACATTCTGGAGTCGTTCCTTCTTGCCTTGACTCCTTCCCTGTCGCCCTGCCATCGCCACCCTCTCCAACCAACCATGGCAAGCACTCACCCAGGCCAGCCACTCACCCAGGTCAGCACAGGGCCATGGGGAATACATCTTTCCCCAGCCTTCCAGCGCACTCACCGAGGTCGGCCGCCACCCGGTGCGCGCACATGATGCCGGAGAAGGCCACCGCGATCACGCCCTGCCCGGGGAAGCAGCTGTCGCCCACACAGTACAGCCCGGGCACTTGCTGCCAGGGAGAGAGCGGGTGGTGGCGCGGCGCATGCGCATACAGGAGATGCTTGGAGGGTCTGGACTGGCCAGCGGAAGCTAAGCCTCTGCCAGATACCTATGCTTGCCCCGTGCAGTTGGTGTTAAACCCCATCAAACCCCCCTTTGGAAAATTTAGCAGTCTAGTGAAGCAGGGCATGCAGTGGAGGGCAGCGCACCGTGGTGTTGAAGGGCATGCCGAGGAGCCCGAGGGGCCGCCTGGCCGGGATGGGGCCATACGTGCCGTCCACACGGTTCAAGAAGCGCCGGTGCGTGCGAGGCGTGCCCACCTGTTGGTGGGGGGGGGGTAGGGTTTGGGGATGGTGATGGGGATGGCGACGGGGATGGGGATGGCGATGGGGATGGGGATGGGGATGGGGATGGTGATGGGGATGGTGATGGGGATGGGGATGGTGATGGGGATGGGGATGGGGATGGGGATGGGGATGGGGATGGTGATGGGGATGGTGATGGGGATGGGGATGGTGATGGGGATGGTGATGGGGATGGTGATGGGGATGGGGATGGGGATGGTGATGGGGATGGGGATGGGGATGGGGAAGGGGATGGTGATGGGGATGGTGATGGGGATGGGGATGGCGATGGGGATGGGGAAGGGGATGGCAATGGGGATGGGGATGGGGATGGGGATGGGGATGGGGATGGGGATGGTGATGGGGACGGTGATGGGGATGGGGATGGTGATGGGGATGGGGATGGGGATGGGGATGGCGATGGGGATGGTGATGGGGATGGGGATGTTGATGGGGATGGTGATGGGGATGGCGATGGGGATGGGGATGGTGATGGGGATGGTGATGGGGATGCTGATGGCGATGGTGATGGGGATGGTGATGGTGATGGGGATGGGGATGGTGATGGGGATGGGGATGGGGATGGGGAAGGGGATGGTGATGGGGATGGTGATGGGGATGGGGATGGCGATGGGGATGGGGAAGGGGATGGCAATGGGGATGGGGATGGGGATGGTGATGGGGATGGTGATGGGGATGGGGATGGTGATGGGGATGGGGATGGGGATGGGGATGGCGATGGGGATGGTGATGGGGATGGGGATGTTGATGGGGATGGGGATGGTGATGGGGATGGGGATGGGGATGGTGATGGGGATGGGGATGGTGATGGGGATGGGGATGGGGATGGTGATGGGGATGGTGATGGGGATGGTGATGGGGATGGGGATGGTGATGGGGATGGGGATGGGGATGGGGATGGGGATGGTGATGGGGATGGTGATGGGGATGGTGAAGGGAATGGGGATGGTGATGGGGATGGGGATGGGGATGGTGATGGTGATGGCGATGGGGATGATAACGGGGATGGGGATGGAGAGATGCCGCAGACATTGAGGGGCGCGGGAGAAAGGGATGGTGGAGGGAAAAAAATGGTGAAGGGAGCGCGGATTAAGGAGGTCAGTTTGGAGAGAAAACCTAGACGCAAATGATGGGCAGGGAAACTGGGCAACGAGGTACAAAGCAGCTTGGGAAAAGGTTCAACGAATCTTCTTCTTCTTTTTTTTTTTTTTTTTTTTTTTTTTTTTTTTTACCACCTAACCTAAATTACGCCAGCTCTCTTCCACACACTTCTCAACTCACTTCCATCACCTCAACTCACTTCCATCACCTCAACTCACGTCCATGAGCTCAATGGCATCTGAGAGGCCAGGGAAGAGGGACCTCTCGAGGCGGGCGATGATTTGCGACGCCACCTGCTGCTTCTTGGCGTTGTACTCCTCCGTGCTCATGCCCTGGCGGGTGGCACATGGCCAGTGACGCATGGTGCATGGGGCATGGCATGTGGAGCACAGTGGAAGGTGAAGTGTTGCTGGGGTGTAGCTGGACAATGGAGAATCAATAGGTGGGGAGTGAGGGGAGTACTATTGTCGTGGTGACAACAGAAAGGCACAAAACCACATGACATCAAATGGCAACACGTGGCAATGCACACACATTCCTGCCAGTCGTGCATCACCTGCCAGTTGTGCATCCACGCGGTGGTGAAGACGTGCAGAATGTGGCGGTCAGGGGGGGCCAGGGAGGGGTCTAGCACCTGAGTGCGGGGGATGGGTACAGAGGGGTCATGGTGGAGGGAGGATGCCAGGGAAACAAGATGAGGCTTATCCATACAGCATGCTGTGAGGAATATCTTAAGATAGGGCATTTGTAGTCTCCTTCGTTTCGGGGCCACTATGAACAACGAGGGCTATGCCTGTGACCGCCTTGAGAGGTTGCAAATCCCAATCAACTCTAAAAAACGTCATTCTTTGAACCACTGAGAGCATCCTCAAGTGCGAGGCGCCTGAGGCATTGCAGTCCTGGACACGACCAAATCCCATCGGCCAGCAATAACTGCGGCGCAACACCCACCACGCGATCCTGATTGAAACTGCAAGCGAGAAGTGACAGCAGCAGCACTCAGAGTGCTGATGAGGAGGTCGTACCGTGGGGATGCTGAGGAAGATGCTCTCATACGGCTCCTCCATGCGCCCCCACTCCGTCTGCACCCACGATGGCGGCACGGGCAAACAATAGCAAGGCGAGGTGAAAGGTGAGGCACGACACACGTGACGCATGCATCAAGAGACACACGCGGCGCATGCATCAAGAGACATGCTTGCCTACAAGCTCCCAGCACCAAGAGATGTGTGACTCCATTCCCCTTCTCATGCTCTGCAACTCCTGACAGCGTTCTTTCCCCATTCCCTAGTGAAAACCCCCCATTCCTGGGCCCCCTCATCTCCAGCACCAGGTGGCGCCACTCACCTCCAGCACCAGGTGGTGGCACTCGGTGCCGGGCGGCAGCGCGGAGGCCCTGACGCCCATGTGGATGGAGAGGAAGGAGGGCGCCTGGCGGTACCGCTGCTGGAAGGCCCGCTCCTCCGCCGGCATGCGCTCCGCGGGCACCAGCTTTCCTGGCGGACGCAAGAGTGGGGAGGAGAGGAAAGGAGGACGAGGGGACGGGGTTAGGGGACCTTGGAAGTGTCATTACTGCGGAGAGGAGGCCCTCTCAAAGAGGGAGTGAAGAATCGCGGGTGGAAGACAGCAAGGCGATGCGTGGGACGAGAAGGGAAGTGGCACAGTGGAAGTAGCGTGGTCGGGCAGGGAGGAATCTCCACGCTTGGCGAATGGCGCACGTCACAATGTCGGGAGAGCCGGTGGAATGAAGCATGAGTGAAGGGCGAAGGACAGGGGTGTTCACCGAAGGTGTCCCATCTTGTGGCGTTGGAAACGACGGTCTTGGCCCGCACACTGCGCCCGTCACTCAGCTTCACGCCCGCCTGCCGTGGGGGTGTGAGGGCAGGGAGAGCGATGTCGGGAGGGAAGGAGAGTCAATGGAGAGTGAGAGAGAGTGGACGAGAGATGGGTGATGCAGGGTTGCCACCTATGTTGGCATAAATGCGTTTCCGCGTTTTTGCGTTTCGTTTGGAACGCTTGCGTTCAGGACGCAAAACGTAGGATTTCAGGCTTCAAATACGCTTGGAAAACGCCTGCCCGGGCAGGCGGAAATTTTTGCCCGGGCAGGGGATATAGGGGGGGTGGGGGGGAGGGGGAGGAGAGGGGTGAGGAGGGGACAGCAGAAATTTTCTTTTCACATTAACATCACGCTAAGGACACACATTCACAGCCACATCTCTCGACTACCTATCTCCTCTCCATCATCTATGCCTCTTCCATCCGACCTTCTACATCTCCCCTACTCATTCTCATCCTCCATCACATTATCTTCCCCCTCCGCCGCCACATCTCCTGACTACCTATCTTCTCTCCATCATCTATGCCTCCTCCATCCGACCTTGTACATCTATCCTACTCATACTCATCCTCAAGCACATCATCTTCCCCCTCCTCCGCCTCCTCCTCGAGCACATTGTATCCCTCCGGCATGGGGGGCTCGGGGATGTTCCCAGCAACAACCCCAAGCCCCTCCTCCTTCTTGTACCAGTTGTGGACCACATGCCAGTTGTGGGCCACGTACACCAAATTCCGGCACTTCTCCGACCCCAAGCGGTTGCGCTTGGCAGTGTGGACTGAGTCCCACACCGCCCAATTGCGCTCGCATGCGGCTGCAGAGACGGCCTGTGTGAGGACACGGCAAGCGAGGGCGGTGAGGGCGGGATGGTCGGTGCCATGCCAAGTCCACCACCGCACCATGTCCATCTCTCCCGCCTTCACCAACTCACGGTCAGCGATTGCCTCGGCAAGGCCAAAGCTGCCGCGCATGGTGAAGAAGTCGGTGAGGCCGTCCTGAAGCACCACTGATTCCTTCACCGTCCTCCCATTCAGGAGGGTGACCATGCGCCGGTCGAAGTGGGTGGAGAGGAACTTTTTCAAAACAGTGGTGCACTCCTTATCCTTGCGGAAGATTCCCTCTGTTTGGTTGGCCGGATTGAGCATCCGGCCAACCACGTGCCAGGGGCAAGCCAAGTCTTGATCCCACCTCTTCTTCACCAACCCCCGGATCTCTTCCGCCTCGTCCTCGTTCAGGAACTCCTCCCCATGCTTGTCGAGCATGTCATCCATGTCCACAGTGAGTTGCAACATGAGGTCGTAAATCTTACCCATCATTCCCTTCGCCGACGAATCCGTGGCCCGCATCACCATAAATGGCAGCTGCATGAGGTGGGTGAAAGCTTCAGCCACATTCCACCACTCACCATCCATGACCGCCGTGCTAAACACCTCTGCCGCTGCCCTCCTCGCCCCTGCAGCAGCAAAATCCTTCCACTCGTTGCTCAGGACGAGTTGCGTCAAGGCCCGCCGCACCTCAGTCAAGCGCCCCACCGCTATGTAGGTGGTCCCGAAGCGAGTACCGGCCGGCCGCAAAACTTGTTTCGTCTTTCCCCCATCCACCTTGCAGTTGCGCATGAAGTTCCGCATGAACTGATGCTTGCGGACGAAGGCGATGATGTAATCCGCCTTCTCCACCACTGCCCGCGCCCACGCCATCTTCCCAATCCTCCATGAGGAGGTCCAAAACATGCGTGGCGCACGGGACCTTCTCAATGTGGGGAAATTCTGCCATCAACTCCCTGCACGCCGTGCCGTAATTGCTGCCGCCGTCGGTGCAGAACGCAACGATGTTTTCCGGGCCCACGCGCTGCACGATCGGGCGGAGGATGCTCGCGATGTACCCGCCCGTTTTGAACTCCATGTTCGTATCGATCGACTCCACAAACACTTCCCCACTGTCGTTGATGAGAAGTATGATTGCCTGCGGCCTTCCGTTCACATCAGTCATCATGTCGCTGGCTAGGGTTACGCCATCCCTCTCCCAGCTGGCGGCGATGGGGCCAAGCGCGGTCTCCACACGCGTGCGGCACGTCTGCAGCCCCGCACCTCCTATGTACCGCCGCTTGGGGGCAACATAGGAAGCGCCTGCACGACCAATGCAGGAGATGGCGTTGGTGAAGATGGGGTTGTCCGCGATGTGCTCTGGCAGACGAAGAGACGCGAACATGAGGCATATCGCCTCATCCGCAGCTTTTCGATTGCACGTGGGCTCATCACCGAAAAAATCGGTCATGCGGCCTCTCATCCCGTCGCCGCCGACAGCTTGCAGCGCCAAGGACTCTGCACGACGCCTGCAGTCCCTCGACTCATTGTTTCGCTCCTGATGCGCCTTGACCTCGTCACGAGCTTTCTTGGGAACGGCGGGGCAGAGGTGGACGCCACGACGCTTCATCCCGTTCCACTCCGTCAAATGCTGTGCGGCGCGCGTCGTGCCACCAACGAATGTTGCGGGACAGTAGTGACACTTTCGCGACTCTGTCAGCTTACCGTCCGCTGCCACACCCGTCCTAAAGTGCTTGAATATCGCATGGTCGGGCTGTTCGACGAACGTGGTGACACCGGTGGAACCCTCGCCCTCATCCGATTGAGGAGCATGTACTGGCGATGAGGAGGACGCCATGTTAGAGGCTGGAAATCGGATAGGTTAGCTGCTGGAAGTTAAAACGTAAGGGTAGGAGTAGATCGTGGCTGTGCATGGAAGGTGAGCCAAGTTCTCCTCTACATATAGATCTGGATCTAGTAAGGGGGAATGGGTTGGGAATTCAAACACGTTGGGAAAAGGGAGGGAGAGACTGACAAGTTTATGTGTCGCTGTGAATTTTTTCGCGAATGTGCAACGCGCGAAATGTGCTGTCGATTCGCGACGCGCGGCGAAATGCAATTTCGATTTCTGATATCGCGCGTTTTTTTTGTGCGTTTTTCGCTTCGGTCAGCCCGGTAAAATTCCGCGGTGCGTTCGAGCGTTTTGATGCGTTTTTTAGTATTGCGTTAAAACGTTTGCGTTTAAACTCAAAACGCAAACTTGCAAATGCGTTTTTGTCAACCTAGGTTGCCACCACAAGGAGGGAGAGCGGGCATGAGGGAGTGCAGCCAAGGCCAGATGGGAGAGATGTGGACAAGGAAGGAGCACCTAGAGTGGGCGGTGTGGGCGGTGTGGGCGGTGAGGCACAAGGAAGCATTGCAGGTGATACTTCATTCCAAGTGCTGGCAGCAGCTAACGGCGTGAGAGAGGCCACGGTGCAGACAGCTACTGCACTTTTTCACATGCCGTGCAGCCGTCACTGCGTTGCCCTGATTATCACATGTGAGTTGAGCTATATTGGCCTAAGCGCCACACATCGCCCCAATCCTGCAACAACGGCATGAGAGCAGCACCGCACAGCAGCACTCACCACACAGCAGCATTCACCGCACAGCAGCACTCACCGCACAGCAGCACTCACGGCACAGCAGCACTCACGGCGCGGCCTTGCTCATCAAAGAGCACTTCAGTGACGTTCGCCTTGTACCACACCTCGCCGCCCCTCTCCTCCAGCCCCGCCACCAGCTCCTGGGCGATGCGCCCCACACCACCCTGCGGGTAGTTGATGCCGCCGTAGTGACGGTCGCACAGCACCTGGGGGGGGGGTGGGGAAGAAGAGCATC